GCTGAGATGAAATTCTGCGGGTGTTCTCCCTTATTTAAAGTTGTAGAGGATAACAGATTGGAATTGAAAGTTTATGATTAGCCATCTCTGGGGAAAATCATGAGTGGAAGCCATCAACTACTACTCAGTACATGTCAGTCAATACCTGGAGATATCCTCTTTCGGAGGTGCAGGTATAGTCCCAAAAATTTTGAAACTGTTGAGCGGAATATGAAATCGGGTGACTTTTACTGCAACAACATACATAATACATCTAAGGCAGCTATCAACGAGCATTTCGGCATTATGTTGGAAATTTTGAGATACTCGGTGTTCATTTTTGCATCGCTCTATGCCTGCAGGTGAGCTGATGATTTAGGTGCTAATGGCAGCGACTCTACTCGGTTTTGTCGTGTTCCTCATATTGAAATGCCTACCACCGATAAACTTCATATTTGATCCGGCTGCGATTCAATGGATAACACCCTCACATGATCACGTCATTTCACATGTTCTCAAGGATTACTCCAACTGGATTATTGCAGTCTACGTGGGAATCTCCGCCATTTCCTACACAGCCATATTTTTACATATCAAAATCGCGGTGAGCTGAGAAAATTCTCATTATGTCACCAGTCGATTATCTCACCTACCAGAGCAATATGCATCGTTGTGCGCATGAAAGAATTCTTCAAAAGATACGCCTAAAGTAGAAAAGCTATTGCTACGTTCCTCGATCGATCCTCGTTGAGTGATCCGCTGTAGCTATCAGTATGATAATAATATATCTTACACGAGAATGCTGGGTTGTGAACAATCGCCCCAGGCGGAACCCAAACCCGCACCTCTTGCTTGAACCCGGTAGCGTAACTTGTAGCGCATTTGTCCGGCAAGCTAGAGGGCGGGTTCGGATCCCGTCTGGGGCGAAAGTTTTGTTCACAACCCAGCATTCTTGTGAAACATTCGCAAGGCGAACTGCGGCCAAAAATAGCAGTTAGCAAACGGAAAACGAGTCAAAATATGAATGGCATTTTCTGCTCAAAATTTCACGGCAAACTCTTCCACATCTGTCAAGCAGGCCTGCAGGCTTCGCACTTTGGCTATGCTCAAGATCGGCTTGCACGAATGGTGCGAGTGGAGTAGTCAACATGGCGGAAATCGGCATACCACCCATGCCATTGTGTGGGGTGTAACCCAAACAAGGGGAACAGGAACGTCATCAAAGCTATGGCTAAGCATCACGAAGGCGCACTGTCTAGCAGCTGATTTTTTTCTGAAATACAAATACATTCCTTCTATCAGGATGGTAGGAAAGACCTGAGCCGTTTGACACTTTTTTGTGCTTTACTTTTTTATTCCGCGTACAATGGAATCTACTCAACAATATAATCACCATTGTTACTCACTACAGAGTCCCACCTAATGGGCAGGTCAGCGACCCCCTTCTCCCAGAACTGAGCAGACTGAGAGTCAAAGAAATCGCTGACCGCTCTTTCAACGTCTTCAACTTTGGTGAATTTTTTCTTCGCTAGGAATGCCTTAAGGGGATGAAATAAGTGATAATCAGAGAGGGCAATGTCAGGGGAATAGGGTGGGTGGGGAACCGCGTCCCAGACCAGCTCTTCCAATTTTGCACGGGTCTCTTTAGCTATGTGGGGCCTGGCGCCACCGTGGAGTACAATACTGCTCCCAATTTTGTAACATCATCTACCGACTACAAATGGTCGCATGCGTAAGCTTTTCGGATTTTTTGTGTTTGAAGTTTAGTCTGAAAGGGATTTGGAAGTGCTAGAAAATCTGGTAGTGAATTTTGGTGCTAAATTTTCTTCGAAAATTCAGTTTTCTAAATATATTCACGCTGCCTGCCAACTCGGGAAACTCGACGATGCCAGTGGCTCGGAACGAAGCCGCCTGCAGGACAAGAAAAGCTTCAATGCCGTTTTTGAGTGCCTGTCAGTCGGCGAAGATTTTTGCAAAGTTTAGGGAGTGATGCAGAACGTTTCCGAAAGGGTAATTTCAGTAGAATCATATAGGTAGGGAAGGAGCTCCCAAACAAGCCTGAGTTTATCTGAAGCATCTTAGGTGTTCATAAGGAAATTGGCTACGACCTGTCTCTGGTGAGACCAGGAATTTCGACTTTCTCCCCAATATCGAGAGGAAACACCTCGATTATGAACGCGTTACGGTTTAAATTTATGTCCTTGTAAATAACGCTGCTGCTGGGTCCTAAATAGTGAGCGCCCCTCCTTTACAGATCAGATGACTCTCAACCTCCCCTCTGGCTCCTCGTCGGTTCTAGTCGTGTTCCTCGTGTCGCTGTGTTAATAAATGGTGAGCACTTTTCATCCAATGCATACTTTTGTTTCAGAGTTTCTGAAATCCAGCGAAAGCGGTGAGAATGAAGAAGAAGTTGCATCTCGGCGCCTAGTTTCTTTTTCAAGCTTCAATCGCTCTGCTCGGGTTGGGTTCAGAATTTTACTGACCCTGGTCAGCCTGATATCTTTTTCGGGTGGAGCGTGTCTCCGAATATCCACATCGGTTTGAACCCAGCTACTGTGAGCGCCAAAAACGATTCGTTCCGTTTGAAGACTTTATTCACTGTACAAATTTCCTAAGAAGTGTAACGATATTCCAGCTTTGTGGAGAATGCCTTCTTTCGGCTACCACTATACAGTATCACAGGGACAATCTTCGAGTTTGAGGAAAGTTCAGTGCCAATGTCCTCTTGTGAGCAGAACCTAAAAGTTCCGAAGTGAATATGGTTTTTCTTCATATCTTTGTAACATTGTACCTGTAACCAGTGAGACGTTTATCTTCATTTGCTTTGATTTCGACACCAGCATAAATGCATCCATCTTTGTTGAATTCCTCAGGAAGCTCCGCTAATTTTCACTTCTATCCTTGCATTGTCCACATTATCCGGCGCCTTAAGAATTATATTTCAGGCTCGAATACAGTCCATTCGGAAAGCTTTTGCACCTTGATCCAATAGGTGCATCTTTTGTATTCGTCCTGCTCCTCGCCTTCATCCCCCTCGTCTAGAGTTTTTTCAATCGGTAACCAATCGCTGGTAGCTTCCAATTCTTCACCGCAACTTGATGGCTGAATTGAAAAACGTCTTTGCATTTAAAACAAAACGCCAGTTACGACCTGAGAAAGGATTACCACCTTTTTGTCGCACAACGGTCCACCGAATCCACTGGGGCAGATGCATTTGGAGCAGTCACGAGGATGAGGGAATCCCTCATTCTTGCAGTCTGGTTTAGGATCACATTTGTCTGGAACTGTGGCCTTTGCGACGTAGTAGCAAGTTTTCAAAAGCATGTTGCTTACCGAGGCAGTCGTACAATTTATTCATCATAAGCAAGTCGTAAAACGAAATGATATCAGATCCAAGAGTTGATGTGTAATTACCATCTTTGGCAGTCATTATTCGCTTTCCTTCGTCTTTGGCTGCGATAGGGCTAAAAACTTACTTCATTCGCAGATACTTCTCCAATATATTCTACCTTTTGGATCCGTAGTGCATTATGCTTCCGAAATCGTATGTTAGATCATAGTTGTTGTTGTATGTCTCGTCCTGTTTGTCGAAGTCGGTAGTCCAGTCATTCTGAAGTGGTCTGCCATATTTTGATTTTTCTACAGCATTTACAAACCTTACTTTAATATTATCTCGTCGACTGTAATGTAATTGTCACGGTCATATCTTGCTTGAGTGTGGAAGAATCCAAGTGCATGACCAATTTCGTGTGCAGCAATTCCGACCTTCAAGGGATGGATTACGCAATTTGCATCACATGTGTGCTAGACTCATATCGCAATGGATACTGTAGTTTCTTCAAAATGTGAGTGTGATCTGGAGGAAGCTCCTTCAAACCATACCGATTCACAGCCTGTGCCGAGAATGAGTTCCTGCGGGCCTGGGCCTTTTTTACCGACGTGCGAAAAACATCCTTTCCTGTATCCGTCCACATATAAGAAGCCTTGAGCTGAAACACTTAGGTTCAAGTGAGCCTCTCCAGGACTTCGTCTCCTTCAATATTTCACAGTAAAGGGCCCTATAACCCTAGTGACAACGATTGAGAATGTTGAAAGGAAGTGTTTTCGCTGTGTAGAACATCGATAATTATTATCTCATGTTCATAGTTGCATTCGAATGTGAACATCACTAATCACCATTGGTTGCCTTTCCGTATGTACCATCTATTTCGGAAGGTGTGCATTTCTACCCATGAGGAATATGAAGTTGGGCGGGACCACGGAAAAACACTTATTCCCGAAATTTCGCGGAAAAGCGTTCATGAAGACCAGACATCAAATAATGCCACTTACGCGGCTTGATACCCGTTGTCATCGGATCTGGGTATTCTTTGAAGTCAATGCACGTGTTGTCATTCCACAATTGCGCTGCTTTCTTGAAGGCGTCCTTAGCCTTTTCTTCTGAACATAGTAAATGGGATTTCGCTATTCTTTGTTCTGCGAAAGAAAACCTTAGATTAGCTGACCTGGGTGGTAAAATATGTAGGGGAGCGTGTTGTTTGACCATCTTCTGCTAAGGTCTCTCATTGCTTGCCTTTTAGAACGAATTCCCATTTTTTCCAGCTCATCCCTTAACATTCTTTGAAATTTGCAAAAGAATCTCTGATAAGCTAATTCAACTAACTTTGTGAGGAGAATATCTCCTTGGTAAGCGCCTGTGACTCCGCTTTTCTCGTTGATTTCCTCAATCGAGCGTCCCATGTCATTTTGCATTTTTTGAGCAGCTTTTCTCTGAAGAATTTGATAATGAGTTACCGTTAGGAATTGATATTGACTCACTTTGAATCTTTCGAAGGGTTCTTCCTGTGGAGTGGAGTGAAGAAGGTATGTTGCTTTCTGCCGCCGCTCTGGCATTGCGTCCACACACACAGTCACAAGTACGGCAAGCGCAAGAACCCTCATTCTGCACAAGAGCTGAAAATTCCGAACGATGATATCGATGTCAAGAATGAACACTTCCTGGGGCTGGCCAATGTATCTGTTCTCTCTTCTCGTATTTATATGGCGCTTCCGTATGTAAGATTGACATAACTGGAATAGTCCCTAGACGGCCACAGCGGTAAAAAAAAGCATCACCTCAGCTGCTGCTCTGTATGGCACTGCATTGATTTATAATCCATGTTTCAGCGCTTATTGTGAGAATCATATTGAAAGATCAAATTCAGTTACTTTACTAAGCGCAAGCGTTCAGAATAGCAGATTGAGTTTTCACCAATACTAGTAGCTTTGCAATAACAGGAACGATTTCTCAAGACGAAGTCCACCCACATAATTCTTTGCAACCAGAAATAAAATTTTAAATATTGGAGAAACCGTTACACGTTCTTCTTCGAATCTTTCGAAAAACGTGTTATAACAGCCACCATCACAAGGGTGAATGCATGTAATCGATATTTTCACCGTGTTTTCCCCGTAGGAATACGCTGCGATTGTAACTGGAAAATGGTTTTTCTCTGAATAATGTTTGGCTGCTCCTGCTTTTATGAATTTAGAAAGCCTCCAGTAGAAGCGATAAGCTAAGTAGAAAGTAGAGCGGTAAGAAGCTCACGGGTGTCAATTCAATTCCAGTTGTATTTCATAATAAGGCAAATATTTGGTTGCCGATGTCCAGAAACATGAGAAAGACCAGCAAAGGTGGTCACTGTGTTACACTGCTTGGAGAGTGACTTCTGAAGCTGTTTCAAAACACAGATGGGGGAGTTTTCAAATTTTTGACTGCTACCGTGTATTTTTTGATTCTTGGCTGTGCCTAAAAAAGAAAAAAGTCGCTATCGTAATGATCGGAGCATTTTGTCTGGACGTGTGCATTCCGGTCAAGTCGAGTTGAATAAACATTTGTTAATGCCTGAATGAAGCGGAACACTTTCAAACGTGAAGACTCAGTGCAAGTCGTTTCACTCCTACGAAAGCCGTTGTTTCGTTATTTTGGGATAGTTGATCCTTTCGAGCGTTATCGCAAGGTAGTAAGGCATTCTCCAGGAGTAAGCACAGTAGGGGGTGGGAACATCGAGAAATAAAAAACACCTGCGCAGTCAACAACCTCTTTTCCTTCACCCATGTTGACGGAAAAAAGATTTTTTCGCCCTTCAGAATGAACCGTTCAAGGATCGACTTTCTTTTAATCTTGGCATTGTTGGATCAGATGAGTACTTGACTGTAGCCGTCCAAGATTAGGTAACTTTATTAGGCTAACGTTTCGGCTTCTTCGCCTTCGTCAGAGCCTGAAAAAGTCAAAAACAAATGTGACTTGCCGCTCAAACGCCTCCACAATACTGAAGACAATTTCCATATCTTAGTAAACCACCTAACGGTATCGATCGAAAGATATGCTACTAGGCCTACCTTGATCAACGCCGCCGTGACGCGAGGGCGACCACCCTCGAAGGACTTAGCTTGTGCTTACTGAACACCACCACCTCCACCCTCTCGACCTCAACCTCGACCTGACCTCATGTAGATCAAAACCCGCAGAGGTCGGAGAAGGGCGCGAGTTCACGGGTAATGGCTAAACACTCCTCTTTTCTATTGATTTTAGGGTCTCTTGCCGAAATCCAAAACGCCTCCAGGGTTTTTCGCGCCGCGATTTCGGGTTCATGCGCCAGAATGGACACTGTGATCCCGAAATCAACATTGTCATGGTATTGCATGCGGTGAACTCCAAGCGGCGTATGAATTTGTGATCTTCGCAACCCGTCCAAGTGCTCCTCTAGTATTGAATAGATCACCCCTGCCCTCATGCAATCACCTGGCTTGCCACCTGGGCAAACCACGTGGTTTGCTTAGGTGGCAAGCCTCCGATGCTCCGATCATTACGACAGCGACTTTTTTCTTTTTTAGGCACAGCCAAGAATCAAAAAATACACGGTAGCAGTCAAAAATTTGAAAACTCCCCCATCTGTGTTTTGAAACAGCTTCAGAAGTCACTCTCCAAGCAGTGTAACACAGTGACCACCTTTGCTGGTCTTTTACTATGTTCTGACATCGGGCAACAAATAATTTGCGCTATATTTATGATAATACAGACTGAATGATTTACACCCGTGGTGAGCTTCCTTACCGCTCTATGTCTTTATACTTTAGCGTATCCCTTCTATGGAGGGTTTCTAAAATTGTCATAAAAGCTAGGGACAGCCGAAACATTAGTCGAGAAAAACCATTTTCCAGGGGACATCGCAGCGTATTCCTACGGGGAAAACACGGTGAAAATATCGATTACATGCATTCACCCTTGTGATGGTGGCTGTTATAACACGTTTTTCGAAAGATTCGAAGAAGAACGTGTAACGGTTTCTCCAATATTTAAAATTTTATTTCTGGTTGCAAAGAATTATGTGGGTGGACTTCGTCTTGAGAAATCGTTCCTGTTATTGCAAAGCTACTAGTATTGGTGAAAACTCAATCTGCTATTCTGAACGCTTGCGCTTAGTAAAGTAACTGAATTTGATCTTTCATATGATTCTCACAATAAGCGCTGAAACATGGATTATAAATCAATGCAGTGCCATACAGAGCAGCAGCTGAGGTGATGCTTTTTTTTACCGCTGTGGCCGTCTAGGGACTATTCCAGTTATGTCAATCTTTACATACGGAAGCGCCATATAAATACGAGAAGAGAGAAGCACATACATTGTCCAGCCCTAGAAAGTGTTCATTCTTGACAACAATATCATCGTTCGGAATTTTCAGCTCTTGTGCAGAATGAGGGTTCTTGCGCTTGCCGTACTTGTGACTGTGTGCGTGGACGCAATGCCAGAGCGGCGGCAGAAAGCAACATACCTTCTTCACTCCACTCCACAGGAAGAACCCTTCGAAAGATTCAAAGTGAGTCAATATCAATTCCTAACGGTAACTCATTCTCAAATTCTTCAGAGAAAAGCTGCTCAAAAAATGCAAAATGACATGGGACGCTCGATTTGAGGAAATCAACGAGAAAAGCGGAGTCACAGGCGCTTTACCAAGGAGACATTCTCCTCACGAAGTTAGTTGAATTAGCTTATCAGAGATTCTTTTGCAAAGTTTCAAAGAATGTTCAGGGATGAGCTGGACAAAAATGGGAATTCGTTCTAAAAGGCAAGCAATGAGAGATCTTAGCAGTAGATGGTCAAACAACACGCTCCCCTACATATTTTACCACCCAGGTCAGCTAATCTAAGGTTTTCTTTCGCAGAACAAAGAATAGCGAAATCCCATTTACTATGTTCAGAAGAAAAGGCTAAGGACGCCTTCAAGAAAGCAGCGCAATTGTGGAATGACAACACGTGCATTGACTTCAAAGAATACCAGATCCGATGACAACGGGTATCAAGCCGCGTAAGTGGCATTATTTGATGTCTGGTCTTCATGAACGCTTTTCCGCGAAATTTCGGGAATAAGTGTTTTTCCGTGGTCCCGCCCAACTTCATATTCCTCATGGGTAGAAATGCACACCTTCGAGATAGATGGTACATACGGAAAGGCAACCAATGGTGATTAGTGATGTTCACATTCGAATGCAACTATGAACATGAGATAATAATTATCGATGTTCTACACAGCGAAAACACTTACTTTCAACATTCTCAATCGTTGTCACTAGGGTGATTATAGGGCCTTTACTGTGAAACATTGAAGGAGACGAAGTCCTGGAGAGGCTCACTTGAACCTAAGTGTTTCAGCTCAAGGCTTCTTATATGTGGACGGATACAGGAAAGGATGTTTTTCGCACAGTCGGGTCTAAAACAAGACCCAGCCGTCCGCGGAAACTTGTTCTCGGGCACAGGCTGTGAATCGGTATGGGTTTGAAGGAGCTTCCTCCAGATCACATTCACATTTTGAAGAAACTACAGTATCCATTGCGATATGAGTCTAGCACACATGTGATGCAAATTGCGTAATCCATCCCTTGAAGGTCGGAATTGCTGCACACGAAATTGGTCATGCACTTGGATTCTTCCACACTCAAGCAAGATATGACCGTGACAATTACATTACAGTCGACGAGAATAATATTAAAGTAAGGTTTGTAATGCTGTGGAAAAATCGAAATAGGGCAGACCACTTTAGAATGACTGGACTACCGACTTCGACAAACAGGACGAGACGGACAACAACAACTATGATTTAACCTACGATTTCGGAAGCATAATGCACTACGGATCCAAAAGGTAGAATATATTGGAGGTTTATCTGCGAATGAATGTAAGTTTTTAGTCCTATCGCTGCCAAAGATGAAGGAAAGCGAATAATGACTGCC